GATTATAAGTTAATTAAGGTCAGTAAAAGAAAACAAAAACCCATGTCCAGTACCAAAAGAAACTTACCACCTACTAACAGTATCATTTAATAAAGACTATTTTAACATTAGAAAAGCAGAAGTTCAGATTATCAAAAAATAATTCTTGGATTTACATTATATACATGTAACTTGAAAAACCATCTCTCTCCCTTGAAAGCCATTTCTCCCCCCCTTTTTTGCTTTAAACTGGTAGACAGTACTATTGTTAAAGCATTGACATAATTTTAGCCTGTGAACACAAGAAGAATATAGCTTGAAATGAGGAAAGGAAAGGAATAGTTTCTCTATGATTTCTATTCAGACTGTAACTGCAGAATAAAATATGGAAACTTGATCAGAACAAAAAGAATAGCACTAACAAAAATGACTGAATTCAGTTAACAGAGATGAGAACGGTAAAGGAAACCATACCATATCAACTTGTAGGTGTTATAACTAATAACACAAACCTAATATATTGAGAAAAACTTTACTATATCTTATTCCTAAAAACAGAATTGCAACTAACAGGGGAAGAAGTTATATGGAAAAGCAGACACCAGTTCAATTTAAGTAAGACGATTCTATTAAACTTTCTGAAAGTTAAAAAGGGCTTTCCTATGTCCAGGGAAGAGCTCTTGTGGAGAAGATGGATTCAGTAATATCTCAGGGATATTAGTAGTGAGTGACACATTGTACGAATTGACTTGAAGTTTCCACCAATTCTAAAATTTTTATGAATCAGAGAGTAAGAGAATAAATGATGTTCTTTAAACTTACTAAAAAGGATGAGTAGAAAGAAGTTAAGCTTTAGTCAAAAAATCAGAGTCCTTTACATGTTCTACCACTTAGTAATGTGTAACACTGAGGCAAAGTTATTCGCTGGGTGCCTCAAAATTTTCAACTTCAGGTCCAGAACAGTGGCTCACACCTATGATCCCAGCACTCTGAAAGGTGCTGGTGGGAGAATCACTTGAGCCCACGTGTTCAAGACCAGTCAAAGTAATATAACAAGACCTCATCTCTACAAATCAATTTTTAAAAAACATTAACCAGGCATGGTGGTGCATGATTGCAGACCTAACTACTCAGGAGGCTGATGTAGGAGGACTGATTGAGCCCAGGAGCTGGCAGTTGCAGTGAGCTGTGATCATGCCACTGCACTCCAGCCTGGACAAACAGAGTGAGACCCTAATTCAAAATAGAAACTGTTTCAACTTTAAATATGTAAAATAATACCTTAACTTAGAAGACTGTGGCATAAATTAAATATATACACACTGCCTGGCACTTAGAAGGTGTTCAATGCATAGCAGGTATTACTCATTTATTCAATATATATCATGTTCCAAAGGGTAATATTTTCTACATCATGTATTAATTATTGATATACTTAAATAATCACTTATTTTCTGCTATGTCTCATTTGTTTTTCAAGCCCAGGCAACACATGCTTGGGATTCTTTTCCATTTCTATGCTTTGTGCAATCCCTATTTGTATGGAAGTAATTTTTGTAAGATTTTTTTTTTTAACCTTGCTTTTTGTTGGTTTCTTTCCACTTTTGTTTGACATGAAAGTGGGCTTTACCTGTAATACACATTGGCTATGCCATTCACTTTGGCTAAAAAATCACATCAACTAAGCTATACATCCAGTTTAATCAATCAAATTACCAGACAGATTTTTAAAATTATTTTTATCTCTCACAATGGCTCACAATAATTCTAGTTCTTGTTTTCCAGTGGATTAAAGAGAGCAAAAAAACTGATACTTGGAACAAATAAAGCAAATCACTAAGCACAGAATTTTGAAAAGTACCATGATATCTGCATTAATATGCAGAATGTTTCTAATGCTAAGACAGGGAATGTGCTGATTATTTTCATACAAATAACTGAAAAATACAAAGAAATTTACAAATACATTTAAAGTATGATTGAATATAATTCCACATGCCAAAATCTAGTAATAATTTTTTTTTACAAGTTGAAGTTAAAGGGAAATAATAAATTCCAAAAAAAAGTATATTAAAATTAAAGAATAAACTATAAGGCAACAAAAAATACAACAAAAAAACACTTTATGGCAAAAATCAACCTAATAACATAGAGTTAATTTTTCTCAAAAGGTAAATTCTAGTTTAAGTTTAAAGTAACTGAAAGTAATATATAATTCATTAATCACAGAAAAATAAACTGCAAGGTTTTGTCATGTGGAAATTTTATTTTTAACACAGATCAGAGCTGATCATACTATTATAAAATACTATTGAATTTCAAACAATATTAAAATATGGTTACTATTAAGTAGTAAGGAAAATATTCCAACAGTTTGTTTTTATGAAAAGCATATGTTAGGACAACTTTCCTTGTGCAGTAAGTTACTTCATAAAACTAAAGCCCCATTTCAGTAGAACTGGGACTTTACTATTTTTACATGACAAAAACAAGAACTAGATTAATACAATCATGAGAAGAATCAAGTTCCTTGACAGTAAAAGATAAGTCAAAGAGAATGCAGAGACGCTTTCCATAAATTCTCACAGGGCAGGTGGGCTGGGGACACAGGAAAGATCACTTTGCAGAATGGATCTTAAGTCTTATTTGGCTCTGCTTTCCTTCCATTACCAGTTTGGCTTGGGTAGACCAATCAGTTAACTTTTTGAGTTTTAGTGTCTCCCTCTGTCTCTGTTAAGTAGGCTTAGACTCTTCCATCTTGAAATTCCAAATTTCTGCAGTATCTACAAAGTTAGGAAAAGCTAAAAGAGGCCCTAATTCTACCTTAAGAAAAAAAAATAATGACAGAAAAATACATAACTTGCTATTTATCAACGTACTGTATCCAGAGCTGAATTCCTGTCTTTGAAGCATATCTAGTCACTGTTGTTTCCGTGAAGATCTAGATACTGTATCAATGAAGTAACCTCTCCTACATTATTCCTCAACCTGCTCCTCCCTATCCTGCTTCATTCTTTCTTCTGCTTGTTTTAAAGCAGAAACTCCAGCAAACGGTTTCAAGCGTTGTAAACTTAAGGATCAAATCATTTTAAAAGATGCATTTTTCGGTCAAATGCATCATCTACTTCACCAAATTCCTCCCAAATGTCTAAATTTTCATTAAGAGAATAAAAATGAGTAACAATTTCAGGAACAGAAATTCACCAGGCCTAATTTTTTTTGCTTTGTTTGCTTAAAAAACAAAAAAACAAAAAACGGAAAGATGTATCCTAATCCATTCCCTTAGGAACAGGAATGCGTTCCCCACCCAATGAAAAAATAATTCGGTGCATTTCCCTAAAACAACAGCTTCCTTGTCAGTCCCTTCCCGGCCCAGCCTTCATCGACACCTAGTAACTGCATATTGATCACCTTGACAGCGCCTGGACTCCAGCAGCCATAGTCCCTGTCTTCCTGACATGTCCCACAAAAATAAAAATAAAACTCTACTACACATCAAAAAACAAAAACAGAGAAACCCCAGACATTCTATGACTTAGTATATAAATCCCACGTCTTCCCGCCCCTTGAGGCAGCTGTTGACATTTTTTCCCCCCTTGAATAAAATGGAAGAGCACCAAGCCCAAACCCTACATTTGAATCTTAGGACAATGAAGCCGACGGGAAGACCCCCCTCCTCCCACCCCCCCAGGTTTACTACGGAGCCGGAGCCCACGCGGGGCGCAGTCGCCCGGCCGGTGCGTGACACCACGGCTCCCGCGCCCGCCCCGCGCGTCCCCAAGGCTCCTCGCCCGCC